TAATACAGTTATGGACCCTATGATGCGGCCAAGAGCTCTTTAATTCAATTATGGACATTGTGATGTGGCCAAGAGCTCTTTAATAAAGTTATTAACCGTATGATGCGCCCAAGAGCTCTTTAATTCAATTATGGACATTGTGATGTGGTCAAGAGCTCTTTAATTCAATTATGGACATTGTGATGCGGCCAAGAGTCTTTGATACAATTGTGGACACTGTGATGTGGCCAAGAGCTCTTTAATACAGTTATCGACCCAGTGATGTGGTCAAGAGCTCTTTAATTCAATTATGGACATTGTGATGCGGCCAAGAGCCTTTGATGAATCATGGACACTGTGATGTGACCAAGAGCTCTTTAATTCAATTATGGACATTGTGATGTGGTCAAGAGCTCTTTAATACAATACAGTTATCGACCCAGTGATGTGGCCAAGAGCCTTTGATACAATTATGGACACTGTGATGTGGCCAAGAGCTCTTTAATACAGTTATGAACCCAGTGATGTAGTCAAGAGCTCTTTAAAACAATACAGTCACGGACTCTATAATGTGGTCAAGAACTCTTTAATACAATTATGGACACTGTGATTTTGTCAAGAGCTCTTTAATACTTGATATTGATAGTTATGCTCTTTCACCCTCCGAGTTTAATACCAAATTTGACATTAATTATAATAAATATTTCTCCATATCGCACATTAATATTTTCTCACTCAATAAAAATTTCGATCAATTTATTGCCGTATCAGAGATTTGGCAACTGAATAATCCAGAACTAGTTCAATTACCAAATTATTCCCTTGAGTTAAAATGTAGAGACAATGGTAGAGGTGGTGGTGTGAGTGCACACATCCACTCCACAATCAACTACAAACGTTTAGATTACAATGTCATGCATTCTGAAACATTATGGGTCGAAATTATTGGTAAAAAGAATAGAGTTGTTGTCGGGGTTGTTTATAGAAAACCGGGTACAAATATTACCGAATTTACAAATTCAATAATTAATGTCTTCTTTAAAATTAAATTAGATAAAAAACATTGCATTCTCCTTGGAGATTTTAACACTGACCTGACAGATAATGAAAATGTTGCAGACCCCCTAGTTAATAATTTACAATGTCTTAACTTACATCAAATTATTTCAGTTCCAACTCGTATTACTATATCATCAAGTACTGTGATTGACCACATCTATACAACTATCAATACTGAAAAAATTCATACAGGTACTATTGTTACAGATATATCTGACCACTTTCCAGTGTTTTCAATCTTTGAGCTCTTTGATATTAATGTCACTGCCAAGAAAACAGTTTTTTCAAGAGATTTTAAAATGTACGATCGTAATCGTTTTAGACAAGATTTGCTCAAAGAATCATGGGAGATAACTTTTAATACTACCGACACAGACACAGCATATGGCTCGTTTTATAAGACGTTTTCTAGGATTTGTGATGCGCATGCGCCATTACGAGTTAAAAACTATCAAAGCTAAAGCTAGCACTAACAAGTGGATCACTAGTGCTATTAAAAAATCAATTAATACGAAACACAAACTATATGCAAAATCTCTAGCAAATAATCATGAGCCACATGCTGTATCCAAGTATAAGTCATATAGAAATGTCCTTACTATATGTTTATTCATCACCGATTTGTATTAACTTTCATATTCATTTGTTTAGTTATTTATCAATTTGGTTAGTTAATCTTCATATTAATATACTTATTTTTGGCCCTCTACTATATACATTATAATTTACTTCCAATGTATATAGGGAATCAGACTAGACTAGCAGTAAGGTATTTTCTGATTTCCTTTTTACCCAATATATATATATATGTATTTTTCTTACCATTTGTTTTTCTGTATGGCTTATTTTTGTTATTTTTGTCCAGTGTTTCTTATTGTTATTATTGTTGGGTAAATAAATTAAAAAAAAAAATAGTATTATCGACCCTATGATGTAGTCAAGAGCTCTTTAATACAGATATCGACCCTATGATGTAGTCAAGAGCTCTTTAATACAGATATCGACCCTATGATGTAGTCAAGAGCTCTTTAATACAGATATCGACGCTATGATGTGGTCAAGAGCTCTTTAATACAGATATCGACCCTATGATGTAGTCAAGATCTCTTTAATACAGATATCGACTCTATGATGTGGTCAAGAGCTCTTTAATACAGATATCGACCCTATGATGTGGTCAAGAGCTCTTTAATACAGATATCGACCCTATGATGTGGTCAAGAGCTCTTTAATACAGATATCGACCCTATGATGTAGCCAAGAGCTCTTTCATACAGACATACAGATATCGACCCTATGATGTAGTCAAGAGCTCTTTAATACAGATATCGACCCTATGATGTAGTCAAGAGCTCTTTAATACAGATATCGACTCTATGATGTAGTCAAGAGCTCTTTAATACAGATATCGACCCTATGATGTAGTCAAGAGCTCTTTAATACAGATATCGACTCTATGATGTGGTCAAGAGCTCTTTAATGCAGATATCGACCCTATGATGTGGTCAAGAGCTCTTTAATACAGATATTGACCCTACGATGTGGTCAAGAGCTCTTTAATACAGATATCGACCCTATGATGTAGCCAAGAGCTCTTTCATACAGACATACAGATATCGACCCTATGATGTAGTCAAGAGCTCTTTAATACAGATATCGACCCTATGATGTAGTCAAGAGCTCTTTAATACAGATATCGACGCTATGATGTGGTCAAGAGCTCTTTAATACAGATATCGACCCTATGATGTGGTCAAGAGCTCTTCAATACAGCTATAGACCCTATGATGTGGTCAAGAGCTCTGTAATACAGATATCGACCCTATGATGTAGTCAAGAGCTCTTTAATACAGATATCGACCCTATGATGTGGCCAAGAGCTCTTTAATACAGATATCGACCCTATGATGTAGTCAAGAGCTCTTTAATACAGATATCGACCCTATGATGTGGCCAAGAGCTCTTTAATACAGATATCGACCCTATGATGTGGCCAAGAGCTTTTTAATACAGATATCGACCCTATGATGTAGTCAAGAGCTCTTTAATACAGATATCGACCCTATGATGTAGTCAAGAGCTCTTTAATACAGATATCGACCCTATGATGTAGTCAAGAGCTCTTTAATACAGATATCGACCCTATGATGTGGCCAAGAGCTCTTTAATACAGATATCGACCCTATGATGTGGTCAAGAGCTCTTTAATACAGATATCGACGCTATGATGTGGTCAAGAGCTTTTTAATACAGATATCGACCCTATGATGTGGTCAAGAGCTCTTTAATACAGATATGGACACTATTTAAGAGTAAAATTTTGATGAGATGGGAAGCACAGTGGTATTTTTTTTCCTTGTGGTGAAACTGCTGTGCGGAGAAGAAACTACTTTACAAAGATGACAAGAACATCGTCCGGCGGCAAAATTTGTTGAGATATTTTCGGAACCAAATGCATACAATACTGCAATACAATAAAATATTTGACAGTTACAAAACAACTGAGAACAATTCAGAGGCAAGCGTGAGTGGGCGTCAGAGTTAATATTTCTCCTCTATCAAAATATTCGGGAATATATATGCACTGCAGGTATACGTGAAAGCTACGTGTATACTGTATATTGTACTGATTAAAGATTAAATGACGCTTTCATAAAATCACATGGGTAAAGCATTTGCCTTCGTATTTGCAATAATGAAAATGTAAATTCGCATGTGCCCAAGATTTCCCTGTACGAGCGACACACAGGTAAGACATGACAACAAAGGAAATTTCATCTGCCGTGATGGCTGTTTCACAATAATTGCATTTGAAAAAGTTGAAAACTGATATCTGAAAACACCTTCAAGGTGTTATGTTATATAGCTTTATTATCAACATCCCCAAATAGACCAGGTAAAATTGATCTGGCAGATTACACTTTCAGGATACTATACTGTAAAACACATATATGCCATTTTAGGAATTTGACTTTTAATCATAATTTAGCTAAAGTGTCAACAATCTCATCGTGAGAATATACTGTTTTTTTTTTCTTTTTAGTGACTTCCCGAATTAGCGAAATTGGCTGAAATAACATGTTGTACAGTAGTTACTGTTGGACAGTCATCACATTTTCTGCTTTTTGCCAATATCAAAAGAGAAAGGCTACAGTTTATGTGGTATTCCACCCACTGTACTGTGGGTGTGGTGTGGTGTGGTGTGGTGTGGTGTACTGTACTGTACTGCACTGCACTGCACTGCACTGCACGGCACGGCACGGCACGGCACGGCACGGCACGGCACGGCACCGCACCGCAACGCACCGAACCGAACCGCACCGCACCGCACCGAACCGCCACCGCACCGCCACCGCACCGCACCGCACCGCACCGCGAATTTGATATGTCGGAAAAAAACTGTCAACAAGGAGGCTGCTCCGTGATTGGTTGACTGTTAGGTGTCGAGCAGACATACTAGTTAGGCATGTACAATGACAATCTTAATACAAATTTCAAAAACTTCTGAGCGGATTTTGATCTAATTTTGTACATAAGTACCTTGGGGTTATATATGTATATGACTGGTTTGGGGGAAATGTTCGTGCATATTATGTAGCTAATTTGCATAATAATTATCTCATTTCAGACTGTGTATGCAAAATCTCAAAAATTGTAAAGCGGATGGTACTTGGGGGTAATCTGTAGATATGATTAGATTTAAGGCTATGTCTATGCATAATAAGTACGTAATTATCATATTATCACATTTCAGTCTGTGTGAGCAAAATCTTAAAAACTTCAGAAAGGATTTTGATATTTATTTTTATAAAACTACAATGATTGCGTATTTCGTATTTACACAGGAGCTTTGCAGAATTTAACCTTGATTTAGTGATGGATTCAATTTATTAAAAGTTAACACCCAAGTAAACGAAAATAAACAAACTGTAAGCTACAGTATCGAAACATTTATAAAATTCTCAAAACGAGGAGGCTGAAACGACATCGCATAAAGGTATCGGTGGTTCGTTGTCTGCGATTGGTGCAATTGCATTTCGTTTCCATATATCAAAAAAACCACGAACAAACTTAGGCATTGTTTCACTGGAAATCCTCGATATATTGCGTATATCGCCCATAATATTTCGAATTGCTTTAGAGTCGGACAAGTCGGAATAATCGCTATCGTCCCATCCGAGGCTTCTCAGCTCATCACTACTTCGTCCACGCATCACCGCCTGGGCAACCACGAATATGTCAGCGAACATGTGTTTATCGTCACTGAAACGGCAACGTAGCACAGCGGAAACTCTGTGTGCAAAGGCGGGGTGTCGCCACACGTAGATGAACGGGTTGACGGCGGGACGGCATGACGACATGAGCACTCCAACCCGGTACACGTGGTCAGGGATCCAAGTGCAATTAACTTGATACGCGATGAAATAAATCACATTAAACACGTTTGTGAGAAAATAAACCATTAACATCAATACTATTGTTCTAGTACATTTCTTTTTTTGTTTCCCCATAGTCATTTGCAAAATGACGGTATCACTGTTTTCATATCGCTGTCTCTGTTCTGTGTTTTTCTGTCGGAATTTGGCGATGGCCCGCTTCAGTATCAAATAAACACCAGTGTAACAAAATACTAATGTACCAAACGGGGCTATGTACGCTGCTGTAACGAGTAGGGCAATGTACCAACCCGAAAACGCCGTGCGATCTACAACGCAGTGGCTCACGCGAGCATCGTAGTTAAGCATCGCATCCTTGTCCATCATAAATGGAACTGCCAACATCGTCGCTGCAAATATCCATAAGCAAACACAAAATATAATCGCGTTTCGCGCCGTAAATATCACACTATGTATGATATCGTTGTGCAGTTTCAAGAAGTGGTTGGCAGCTATGGTTGCTACGGTGATATTTGAAACAATAGCACAGAAGTCATCCAGGTTGCCGAAAAATATACAAGACTCCAATTCGATGAACGGCCATTCGTTGATTCCCATCGACACTGCGAGAAGTGGTTGACACAAACCTGCTACCGTTAGATCCACTATTGCTAAATTTACTGCTAGAATACAGACTGAATGTTTCAGAATATCTCTTGATTCTATCCAAACTATACTCATTAATACTACTGTGTTGCTAAATATACCCATCAGACTCACAAACACGGTGACGCAGATTTGTAAAACTTTGCTCCATGTTTCTATGGTGATTGCCCCTGTTTCACAGCAATGTTGTTCGTCAGATGTGGATGATGCCGTTGGTCCATTAAGTGGAAATGTCCAATTTTGCGCAGTTGGGTCCGAGGTACTCATGATTGCATACTATTTTTCACTGTGACTGTTGCATTGGTTGGATAATCCACCTTAATCCCCTCTTATCATTTAAGTCGTCGTATCAATGAGTGTTACCATAACGATATCATCAGATTGCTAAATCGATGTTTCTCAATACCAACTTTTCAATTAATCGATCGATCACTCCTATCAAAGTATCAAAAATACCAACTTCACAACAGTCTATACCGACAGAGCCCCGTCATACTAAAGTAAAAATAGCCGATATTAACTCACTGCATGACTGTTATTCTCCGGATTGGAAATCGCTAGTTGACTGCTTGATTTTCGTCGTGGTGGTCTTTCATCATGCGTTCGCTGTTATATATATATATATCACATATGGTCCGCTGCACACGCTTCTTTGAAAGTGCAGATCGCAAAAACAAAACAGATTTAATAGCCGCGAGCCGAAATACAGCCGAGCTCTGAGTGTTCTGAATATAGTAATTATTCTAATCATGACCTTCATTGAACGGAATTAACATGATTGGTCTCTGCTTGTCGCATACCCGCAACCAGGATATTATCAACCACACTACCACCCTGGACGCATATGATTCCGCAGTCTTGATATAATTACCTTCGTTGCCATGGTATGTGTTATCTATAAGGATGCGAATCCATGGGAGGTAGACTAATTATGTCTGTGTCACTTATTATATTCATTAATTTTCTCTTATTTGTCTTTATTTAGATCCATATCACGACTGTATTTTGTATTGAATTTGTAATGTGACTGTCAGTTGTGAGAGAAATCGTGTTCGTTGGAGAAAAACATGTGGTCTGTGTGAATTAGAGACTGTTAAAAATCTGTGTATATGCAATTTACCTAGTCCCTAGTTATGTTTGCTAGTGCCAGAATCAGTACTTATACGGAAATGTTACTTGTATTTAGACGCGAACACCTCTGCCGGTACACTTGTTGATCACAGTAAAACCCCACTGAATAACATTTCATTGTGTTTAGTAAAAAAAGACCGAAAACACGACATGTTCGAGATTGGTTCGAGTCACGCGCGCAGTCACGGTGAGTGTATACTTCACCTTTATAGTATTTACCATGATCATGCCGTATCTACCATACGTTTACAATTATTTCGCAGGGTTCCCGTTCTACCAGGTTCATGTCGTACAACGTGCCGATAGCTAATATAGTGCTGAAATCAACAGATAATGAACAACGTCGGCAATATTTCCGCCAATTTCCGATCGCTTTTGCCATCGGGTTTTGAAAATATTTAAACGTTTTACTAAATGACATAGAGAAAAGATTGTATTATCCCGTGATAATAATGAAGGTAGGTATTAGAGTACAAATTTTTCACTACATTTTTTTAAAAATTATAACATGTTTATTATTTAGGTGGAAACTTAGTTAGTTAGACTTGATTTTCAGTCTCTGTTTCTTGCATACAGTAGCTGCAGATCGTTTTTGTTAGCCTGCCCTCATCGGTTTATGATATTATAATGTGACCCACATGGACAGTTTATGATCATAGACGCCTTTTTACAGTCGTGGTTGTAAAATAAATAATTATGACATAAGTGCAAATTAAAAAAAAAAAACTGGGTGACGAGATTGACAGGTTCCAATCTCATAAGGTAAAGCAAATTCTATGGTCAAGGTCAATGGCGGACTTACAGACTCATTAATTTCAAACACTAGATTCAAACAAAGTTGTAACTTGAGTCCAACTCCCTTCAATTTTTTTATACATGACTTGCCCAAAATGTTCGATCCACACATTTATAGTTCTCCCACAGTAAACAAATCATCCAAAGATGACATAGCCCCCCCCCCACTTGTCAGATGTGATTATAGTTGGCTATGATGAATTATAAATGTAAATTATAAATAAATGTTTGAATGTATATGTATAAAATCGGGTAAGAAGATTAAGTTGAAAATCAAAAGTATGTTACTCAAAGTTAACAGCTAAGACATCTCTATTAAATTTGGTAAAATCAATTTTAACAAAAATACACAATCAATTGAATATGGAAATTCAATTGAGTCAATATTAAATAGCAAATACACGATATTAACAAGAATTCAAATTAATTAAATATTCAAATTAGCTCATTAATTAAGTTGAAAGTCAATATTGCATAGCACACATCTTATATTGACAGATCAAGTAAGTCTATAACAACTTTGGTCTCATTCGGACAATTAGTTCACAAGATATCAACAAAAATTCAAAATTCTTTAAATATGCAAATGAGCTCGTTGAATGGCTGAAACTCAATATTGCATAGCATATATCTTATATTGACAATCAAGTCTCTACCAAGTTTGGTCTGATTTCGACTATTAGTCCCCCAAGATATTAACAAGAATTCAAATTAATAATTAAATATGCAAATGAGCTCATTAATTGATTCCTTGAAGAAATAAATCAATATGCATCTGTACCAGTGGTCACTCTGTCTTTGTACCAAGTCTCAGCAAAATCGGTCTAGGCATCTCCGAGAAATGATGATGGACACACCCAAAAAAAACTGGATTTTACGGAATTTAGACATTCAAAATGGCCACCATTTCAAAAAAATAAAACAACGTGCATCTGTATGGGTGTCCCTTTGAGTTTGTAACAAGTCTCAACAAAATCGGTCGAGCCATCTCCGAGAAATGATGATGGACACACAAGGACCGAATTTGACTGAATTTTGTCATTTTTATGTTTGGAGAGGTGTTACAGCAGTTGTGTTCACGTTAGTCACGGTCGGGGCTGAGTCCGGCCCACTCTGCTCAAAATCACGCCCTCATTCTTAGATTTCTTGGTTAATCGAAAATGGCAGACGATCCGCATATGATGATAATAATAGTCCGACATCGTGCAGTGGTGAATTCAAGAGACATATACTGATTCATACTACATGTACATGTACTAGTATCATTACATGACGATGGAGGCAAGTGTAGCTAATTATGGTCGGGTTCTGTAGTAATGAAAGAAAGAAATACAGAACGTTGTCGGCGACGCATATTAATGTGCTGCTTCAACCGTTTTTTTTTTTGTAATGCAACATCGCGTAAAAATAACAGCTCATTGAATACTTTGTCTTTCATGTGCACGATGTCGGACTCATAATAAATACCGTAACAGCAAATGGATATTATTTCAATAAAGCAATTGTTATTATCATCATATGCAGATCTCGCCAAGTGAACACCACTGATATGTTTATTTGCTGTCCGGGTTCACGTGGTCCGGGTTCACGTGGTGCGGGTTTCTACGATATTTAGAGCCGACAACTGGCCAACACCTGTTTCTATCTTATCAGAGCGTCTGATGTTTGTCAAATGTTGTAAAATTGACATGACTTTAACAAATGAGAACAAATGCGACTTTTCTGGAAGCCGACTCATGCTTATAAACTATAGAAATAAAACCTTAACGAGGATTTATCGGTAATCAGTCAAGACTTGGAGAAAGGAAAGTTGTGTTGGAAGCCAGGAAAGTTATATTCACGGTTACTAAAAAAGACGGTTAGGAAACAAGCCATGTTCTTTTCATTGGATGCGTGTCGCAGGTAAACATTTGAAAAAAAGACGTACTAATCTGTGATAAATCATTAACATAAAATGTAGACAGGAAATCACGCAAATATGACGTCATTTTCCCAGACTTCATTGCAATCAACAACTGCACGCCATTTTATTGTGTCTGTGTCGATACTTTCAGTAATACTAAAGTGTAAGTTGTTCCAGTGAATCCTACAAAACCTTTCGCTCAGTTTAAACTCTATACAAATTTGCCTGCGTGTATGGCATTTTCGTTTCTAAAGAAAACTGAAATAAAAAAATAAAAAACATGATCAGAAAACAAGACGTCAAAGAAACCATACAAGTGTTTATATTTCAGCCATGTGAAAGTTTTAATGAGGAGCCATGACACCACATACATTTTGTTGGAAATAAACAAAATATGCGATAAGATAACTGAAATGATCCGCCCATGCTCTACAAAATGCATGTAAGCAGACCAAATATGCAACAACAGGCAGTTCCAATGAAATTAAGAACGGTTAAAAAAGGTTCGAAAAATTGGTTTGGCGAAGAGACTGCTAGAAAGTTGTACCGACAGTTCAATGTGTTCAAAAATTATAGCGTTGACTAAAACCGCATTTAACGGCACGCTGAACATAAAAAAATTGCCAAAAAACTAAAACAAGGACAGACAAGAACAATTAAAAAGGCATTTTATGAAACTGGCGGAAAATGTTGAATACATTTTCAATAATTTCTACGGCGTCCACGAAAAAGTGTTAAACTGTTAAGACTTTAAACAAAACGGCTGATACAGTGATGCGAAAGCAAAACAATAAAATGTACTCTAATAAGCCCCCGAATCGCATACAACCGTCATAAGTACGCACAGTAGTATACTAAAAATATAGTATCATGTATTTTAAAATAATGACTTAGGGGTTAGAATTTTCGTCACTTTTTATTCCGGGACCCAAGCTTACTTTCATAACAACAGTGAAAACGATAAATGACGATTCTCGATTCTGAATGTTATCATAGTCACGAAGAGTACTCATCCGAAATGTACGTGTAGTTCTTCGTAGAGCTTGTGTTATATTGGACGACCGAAATTCGTTAGTACATTCGACGTCGGAAAACATTTCAGGAACATTCAAAATGTTGGCATGAAAATCTGTCTAAAATCTTCGATTTGGCTACAACGTCGAAATCATTTCCAGCACCTCTGAAAGACGAGGAAGGTGCAATGAAAATAGAGACAGTTTAGAGATCACGTTTGGAACGTCAGAAAATCTTTAAACAATGCCGGGAAAGTCGGAAGTATTGTACTGGAAATCGTAATAATGGTATACAATGTCAGTGGGAAATTTGAAAAAGGATGTAAAGGCAATCAGCAAAATCCGAAAGGTAGAGGGTTGCTTGCTTTGTCTCGAAATCGTGATAGTCGTTTGGAACGTTGGTTCCAATGACAATGTCGACAAATAGTTTCTCAGAGCATGGAGGTAGACCTACCTCCATGCTCAGAGATAGGAATATTGTTTGGAAAAGTTATATCAAGACAGTCATGAGTGATTGTGTGTTTTTTCTACCTGATGAATTATTCATGTATGTTAATGACGTCGGAAAAGGACCATTCACGTCACCCTGAGCATGGAAGGTACTAACGTTAGTACCTTCCATGCCCTGAGACAGGTGTTGTAATGTTCATTGCCCGGAGTGTCGGAAAATCTGTGTAGTTATTGTATTATTTCAAACGCTGCCGCCATCACGGTTACTAAAGTAACCGTGCCGCCATCAAACAGATTCTTACCACATATTGTTCATGGCTGGTATTAGTAGATGGATTACGTAACATCCTGTGTGTAGATAGTATTAATGCCGCCTTTCATGTCTGACTTTATATTTAGTATTAGTAGTAGTTGTTTACTTCAGCTGTATAAACAACACATGTTAATTATCTGTGTATTACCATGGAACTATAAACAAACATTGGTTCTCTTTGCACCTTCGTACAATGGGTTGCGCTAATCTCGAGCATTCGATAATATTCGGGGCATGTTCGGAAGTGGTAGATCATGGATGGACATCCATGGACAGACGAACCTCGCAAGTACAATACTGAATGCTGTTGTTTCCGGAGATTTTGGCGAACTTTAATGAAAAATTGGCACATCGATTGAAGAAGAACTGATGAACTATCGTGAATCTGTTTGTATTTGTAATGGTGACGAGACTTAATCAATGATTGCCTGTGACAATAACCATTGCATT